ATATACTTTTCAGAGGGTAATAAGAACTTCTATTAATATTTTTAGCTTATAGACCTATCCTTTATGTTTCCACCAGAAGTGTTGGCATATTGTTATACTCGCAGTCTCAGCTTTTTTGTGGACAGCATTCGGCAGTTGGTGTGTGGTGGTCGACATCAATGACACAAATGACAGGCAGTGACATTTTGCTTGTTGGTGCCTTAATTATGTATATGGATATAGAAAATAAATCTTTTTTTAAAATTGTCGAGAGTTTGTTTCTAGAAATGATGATATTGATTAATTCTGCTTGTATGGTGATCAGTCATTTATTTGACACTAAGAGAAAGTAATTGATGACATGGCTAGTAGTATAAGGTCAAAAGTTGAATTGTCCAGTGAAGAAATTGCCAAGTAATACTTTACTTATATATGAATGTGAATTATTATTAAACTCTTTGATTTGGCTTTTCAGTAGTCCTTATAGTAACATATAGGTTTCTAATCAGATCAAAGGCAAAATATAGTTGATATTGAGGTAGTTTTTGGATATGTTACATTGATGCGTGTATATTAGTGATAAATGACCCAAAGATATTGAATAGTTGGTGCAATATAGAGCCTTTAGTTGCAATACGTATTAATACTGATTTTATGCAACCATACATGCATTTTGAAACCAGGCATTGTTAATCAATGCATCCTTCCTTCCATCCATCTGTCTATCAATCAACAATCTTTTGAACAAATAAAAATATGTTTGTCTCATTTTGGAAGAGTTTTCTTTTTTGTTGGCAAAATATAACAACTTTGACAATATGCATGTCTGCATCATTTATCGTGTTCCATAATCAGATATACCCCAAAAGCTGAAGAAAATAAATGACAAAAATAAACTTCTGAAAATCTGAGTCAGATTTTTTTGGGGTACCAATGTGGCCATATAAGATATAACTATTAAAACAAGATGATGGTAAAACTTCCATGATTATGAAATTGTATGGTTCCTTGTGGTCTCTTTATCGTTTGATTTTCACAGTATTTTGTCTAGGTTTTGTATAAATTTGGAATTAATCTCAAAACCAAAATGAATCCAGAATATAGATTGACTATCTGCGAATAGAATATGACTGATAAATGCTTTATATGATATTGGATCTGAGTTGTACAAGCAATAAGTAAAGCGAATTGATCATGTTTGACATAAACAATTGGTTTGCTGCTCAATTCTCTGGCTCCTACAAGCTCATCAGCTATTGTTCTCTGAAATGATTGCCTTTGTGGTACACAAATGCCAGTCGAAAAAATAATGTCACGATGGGCTTGTTTTGATAGGAGAAAGTAAAGAACGAAACAATGGAATTGTCAAGAAATCAAAAATACCAAATACATTAGCTTGCAGTTGAGCCTTTTGTATTATAATACGAGGAAATCAGGCAGTTTATTCAATTTTAGTGAAAATAATCGTATCAGATCGATTTTGAATATTTGCTTCTTGGAGAATGTGCTGTAAGAGGGAAATTGATGTTCCGTGTTACGAACATTCCCATCTCTGTAATTTAGTACACACAAGGCCAATAGTAGCGCATTAGAAGCCTGTCTTCCCATAAACAAAATCAGACGTTGGTATTTCACTAAGGGAAAAGAGCAAAGTAGAGAGATTATTAGAAGTAATAGAGTTGTGCTGTTTGTGGTCAAGACCTGAAATTGTATAGAAATAAAAGAAATCAAGATATCCTGATATGGCAAAGGAGAAAATGTATGAATTATGGAACCCAAAGAATGACTTTTTAATCTTACCCAACCCATCTTGATTTGTACTCCAATTTCCCATAGGTATAATATGCGCCCATTTGATGGCAAAAAACATCGGAAAGAAATATGTTTTCATGTAGAATTATCCTAACGACCCATTAAGATTTCTACTTATCCTATTACTACATGAAATATAGCTGTATGTTTTTTACTCAAAATAGAGTGGAAAGAGATGAAATAAGAGAGGAATGAACCAAATATCATTCTTTTTTAATTCCCATTTTTTGGAAATGTATTTTGCAAAGCCATGTAATGTATTTTACAAAGTAATTTTTTATGGTTTTGGAGAGAAAATCATGTTTTTATATCACCACCAAAAAGTGGTGACATATTGTTATGTGGTGTGATGAAAATTGATTTTTTTTATTTTAGTGTTTTCGTTTCACCATTACCGGTTTTGATAAGAAATTCCGGAAATAAGGAAGTCAACATAATTATTCTTTTGAAATCGGAAAACGAAGCCATTTTACAGGAATTTCAGTGGAACTGGTGAGTTAAGGCGAGTGGCGGATCAATTATTGGCATATAATCTTTCAAAGGAACTTTGATTTTTAATCATTTTCGAGTTAATCGATCACGTTTTTAGCATTTTAGTGACATGATCATCCGCGGAAATTTCATATTATCGCCCATTGCGGAGACTCATTGGCATACTAACCTAGTTTTTGGCGGTATTAGCCAATCAGATTTATGCAGTCCAAAACGTCCGCGCGGGGCATATAAAAGGAATTTGACCAGTTTGTCAAGTTGTTGTGCGACAAAGATTTACAGACAAACAGCTTCGGAGACGTAAGTAGGAATATTTTGTTGAGTAATTGACGAGGGATTTTCGATCAAATATCATCGCAGTTTGTCCATTTGTTTTAGCCTGGACATTTTGAGCATTGTTTAAGAGATTCAAATCGGATTGTATCTATTATTATATGTGTGTGTATTTTTATTCATAAATTTTACCAACATTGTTATTTGGGAGAGTTGCAATTAATTTTGCATACCCCACATCGGTGCAAGGAATATTTGCACCCATTACAACCACCTGAAGAAGGTGTGAAGGACATTTGGGAGAGTTGCAACCCATTTTGCAACCCCATATCGGTGCAAGGGATATTTGCACCCACAATAATCAATGGAAGGATACTTGGGAGAGTTGCAACCAACTTTGCAACCCCATATCGGTGCAAGGGATATTTGCACCCACAATAAACAACGGAAGGATCTTTTGGAGAGTTGCAACTAACTTTGCAACCCCATATCGGTGCAAGGGATATTTGCACCCAAAATAAACCACGGAAGGACACTTGGGAGAGTTGCAACCCATTTTGCAACCCCATATCGGTGCAAGGGATATTTGCACCCACGATAAACAACGGAAGGATCTTTTGGAGAGTTGCAACTAACTTTGCAACCCCATATCGGTGCAAGGGATATTTGCACCCATTACAACCACCTGAAGAAGGTGTGAAGGACCTTTGGGAGAGTTGCAACTAACTTTGCAACCCCATATCGGTGCAAGGAATATTTGCACCCATTATAACCATTTGGAGAGTTGCAACTAATTTTGCAACCCCATATCGGTGCAAGGGATATTTGCACCCACAATAAACAACGGAAGGATCTTTTGGAGAGTTGCAACTAACTTTGCAACCCCATATCGGTGCAAGGGATATTTGCACCTTAAATAAACCACGGAAGGACATTTGGGAGAGTTGCAACTAACTTTGCAACCCCATATCGGTGCAAGGGATATTTGCACCCTCAATAATCAACGGAAGGATATTTTGGAGAGTTGCAACCAATTTTGCAACCGCATATTGGTGCAAGGGATATTTGCACCCATTATAACCATTTGGGAGAGTTGCAACCAATTTTGCAACCCCATATCGGTGCAAGGGATATTTGCACCCACAATAAACAACGGAAGGATCTTTTGGAGAGTTGCAACTAACTTTGCAACCCCATATTGGTGCAAGGGATATTTGCACCCACAATAATCAACGGAAGGACATTTGGGAGAGTTGCAACCAACTTTGCAGCCCATATCGGTGCAAGGAATATTTGCACCCATTATAACCATTTGGGAGAGTTGCAACTAACTTTGCAACCCCATATCGGTGTAAGGGATATTTGCACCCACAATAAACAACGGAAGGATCTTTTGGAGAGTTGCAACTAACTTTGCAACCCCATATCGGTGCAAGGAATATTTGCACCCATTATAACCATTTGGGAGAGTTGCAACTAACTTTGCAACCCCATATCGGTGCAAGGAATATTTGCACCCATTATAACCATTTGGGAGAGTTGCAACCAACTTTGCAACCCCATATCGGTGCAAGGGATATTTGCACCCACAATAATCAACGGAAGGACATTTGGGAGAGTTGAAACCAATTTTGCAACCCCATATCGGTGCAAGGGATATTTGCACCCACAATAATCAACGGAAGGATACTTGGGAGAGTTGCAACCAACTTTGCAACCCCATATCGGTGCAAGGGATATTTGCACCCACAATAAACCACAGAAGGACACTTGGGAGAGTTGCAACCCATTTTGCAACCCCATATCGGTGCAAGGGATATTTGCACCCACAATAATCAACGGAAGGACATTTGGGAGAGTTGCAACCAACTTTGCAGCCCCATATCGGTGCAAGGAATATTTGCACCCATTATAACCATTTGGGAGAGTTGCAACCAACTTTGCAACCCCATATCGGTGCAAGGGATATTTGCACCCTCAATAATCAACGGAAGGATATTTTGGAGAGTTGCAACCAATTTTGCAACCCCATATTGGTGCAAGGGATATTTGCACCCATTATAACCATTTGGGAGAGTTGCAACCAACTTTGCAGCCCCATATCGGTGCAAGGGATATTTGCACCCACAATAAACAACGGAAGGATCTTTTGGAGAGTTGCAACTAACTTTGCAACCCCATATCGGTGCAAGGAATATTTGCACCCATTATAACCATTTGGGAGAGTTGCAACCAATTTTGCAACCCCATCTCGGTGCAAGGGATATTTGCACCCACAATAAACAACGTTAGAATCTTTTGGAGAGTTGCAACTAACTTTGCAACCCCCTATCGGTGCAAGGGATATTTGCACCCAAAATAAACCACGGAAGGACACTTGGGAGAGTTGCAACCCATTTTGCAACCCCATATCGGTGCAAGGGATATTTGCACCCACAATAATCAACGGAAGGACATTTGGGAGAGTTGCAACCACTTTTGCAACCCATATAGGTGCAAGGAATATTTGCACCCATATCAACCCCCTTAAACAGGTGTGAAGGATACTTGGGAGAGTTGCAACCAATTTTGCAACCCCATATCGGTGCAAGGGATATTTGCACCCAAAATAAACCTTGGAAAGACACTTTGGAGAGTTGCAACCAACTCTGTAACCCCATATAGGTGCAAGGGACATTTGCACCCACAAAAGGATTTTAAGAATATTTGCATCAGGTTGCACATTTATAAATTTGATTAGTTGCAGTTGAGTCCCGTGGCCAGGAGCGCCCTTTTATTTCAGGACCAACAAGAGAATACAAAGAGCAGCATCCCACAATTGCTGAAGAAGACTATAGAAGCATTCAAGTCATATCAACCTTTATCTTTTGTGGAACTGATTAAAGTGAAACACGATTTGATCTTACTTTCTTATAGTAAATTTAGAGACCTTCAAGTAACATCACATGTATTTTCTGCCTTAAGGCATTAGTGTTTATATAGCTTAGTGTAGTTTGAGTTTAACTTTGTACATAATTGTCTATTGTTTCTAGAGCATTGTTTGTGATTGTTTGGCTCATAAAGAGCAAATATATAACTTTATTTTTATTCTGTACTTGAATGTTCATTGTTGTATTGTATTGAGTTCTGGAGGGAACTTGTGTAGTGCAAACCCCAGATTGCGTAATACTTTCTTTTCCCTTACATTCCCTTGGAGTAACATCTCAGGCGACTGTAGCGAGCGGAGTCAACGCCGCTCCGAAACATCCCGCAATTAAGTAACACGCGGGAGAGTCCACCTTCCCCGCATTTTCCCCGCATTCCTGACCCGGGAAAAACGTTACATTGGTGTCAGAAGTGGGATTGCTTCAGTTGTTCTTGTGGAAGCAAGGATAAGGATTTATAATAGCGACGCACATCTCGGACTTTGCATGTGAATTTACAGGTTGAAATAATTGAGAGAATGTCGGATATTGAGGGTATGGATCAAACAAAGGAACAAGAGAAAACCCAGGTTTTCTTTAAGAATGACAATGAGGATATAAAAAACCCTTTAGAAGGTGATACAACTTTGCCTGTGGAACAAAGAAGTTCCCCCGCACAAGTCGGGGAGAAGGATACCTCAGATTATAGAAATCAAGGTATAAGCCAGGAACAAGTGGATATTAGGAAACAAGTAACATTGACCACTTGTTATAACCCCATGGATGCCTTTGGGAGTAATGGAATCCCAGTTAGACATACTGGTTCCCCAACACCTGTCTCAATAGGGGACAGAGGAGACCAAAGTAAAGTGCCCACTGCACAAGCCAGTGGATTTAGCACTGGATATTGGACAGGAGATAATTTGACCACTGGTGTAAAGCCATGGAAGGATCCTATAGAGGAAATAGGGACGCAGGATTTCCCTTTAGTGAACGAGAATTTGATCAATTGGCCAGAAAAGGGAAAATTAAAATCCAACCCATTCATCGAAAATGGGATGGAGAGGGCGTCTGACCCCTGGAATTCAACCACCCTACAGTTGGGATCTAGGAAGAAGTTCCCCAAAACCTCCACAAGAATGACATTGGACAGGGATACCCCAAAGTGGAGACAGAGCTCTCCTACTTTGAGTGAAGAACTGGATAAACAGAAATTGCTTGTCACTGAGATTGGATGTAATCTCTCGAGACTGGATAACACAGTCATACATATGGAGGGGAAAATAGACAATCTTTGTCAGCAAAATCAAAGGAATAATTTTCAGATGAACAATCAAATGGAAAATGTTGCCAAAATGCTAAGCACTCGAGTAGAAGATGTGGCTAGCAGTGTGCAAACATTGGCTAACATCGTGAAAGAGGATCACGAGAACAAGTCTGCTTTAAATGATCAAACTAAAATGGACGTTGCCCCAACTACTAATAGGGAACTAATATCTGAGGAAGTTTTTGCCCCACCCAGGACCACCTCTGGATTTATTGAAGTGAATCCACAACTCCAGGGCAATAGGCAACCATTGGAGAGTGCACCTCGGAAAGAGCTACCCCAATTACAGGAATGGGATGGCGATCATCTTGTAAAAAGGGTGGAAAACCCCTGGCCCTTAAGGAGACAGCCTAGATTTTACAAGGAGACTCCAAAGGACTATAATCCGGAGATATATGGTGAGATACCAGGCACCCAAAGTTATATGGAAACCAGAGGAGACATACAGAAAAAAAAGATATTCCCTCGGAGGAGAATAGTGTTACGTTCGAAACTAACAGAAAGTAAAAACAGCAATTAAAATATGATAACAATATATTTATATTTTGAAAACTAAATAATATAACAATAATATAAAGGAGGTTTAATACTTAAGTGATGTCCAATCAATGATACGGCTTATTCTGGATGTCGATGAATATCCTTGATGTTCCTTGAGAATGTTCCAGATCACGAAAGTTTCAATAATCGTTAATAGTTCTCCAATGTTTGTAATAATCCAATAATGTTTGTTGTAATCCTATAATGTTCGTATCCAATAATGTTTGATGATAATCCACAAATGTTTAACGATAATCCACAAATGTTTATGATAATCCACGAATGTATATGATAATCCGTATACAGTGTGTGTTATAATATATGTCCATATAAAGTCCTCAGGTTGTATGCTTGCACTGTTATAAATGTTCCCAAAGTAGGTGTCTGTAATTTTCTGCTAAGAAGATGTCCTTTTGATAGACTTTGAAATTCTGCTGACAGTCCAAATCAGCTCTCTCATTATATAGTGCAAAGGCATAGTCCAGATGTTTCAAGAAGTTACGATTTCTAGAAAATAACACTGATTGGACATCTTAAGTCACATGATTCAATCTTGATTAAATGATTACAGTTCCAGTACTTTCTAGAAGGCCAAGAGTTAATGAGTCATTCAGTTCAGTTATGTTTACAAGATATAATGTCATTGTGACCTTGACTTGACCTAAGATCTCTAATGAAGATCAGTTACAGTATATGCATATTGATAAACTAAACTTAATGTGAATATAATAGAATATAATACTGTAACACCTCCCTCCTTAAAAGAAAAGTTTTGAATACAATGAAAAACTTTTACAATAATATCTGGTGTAGCGAGGGTTACAATTTTTAATGAGGAGGTTGAGACTTACATAACATTTGTTTACAATAGTCAAATACAATAATATTTATATTGTTACAGATTGAGTAAACTCAAAAACATATTACAATAATATTATCAAATCACATTCGAAGTACAATCTTTTTTATTATATCAACATAAAGCCTCAAGTATATACAGTATAAGCCAAATAGCCTCTTAAAAATAGAGGTATTACACTCTTGAAAGAGTGTCAGCAATTAAATTATCCTTGCCTTTGATGTGTCTTATGTCAAGATTGTACTCTGACAATAAAAGACTCCACCTCAACAATCTACGATTCTTGTTCTTCATTCTATGAAGGAATGTCAGTGGATTGTGATCAGTAAATACAGTAACTGCATGGACTGGTGCACTTACATATACTTCAAAATGTTGTAATGACAGAAGTAATGCTAGACATTCCTTTTCTATGGTGGAGTAGTTTTTCTGATGCTTATCAAATTTCTTCGAATAATAACACACTGGATGATCAATACCATCCCTTTCTTGTAATAGGACAGCCCCCATTCCTACATCAGAAGCATCTACTTGAATTTTGAATGGCTTGCTAAAATCAGGTGCAACAAGCACTGGTTCTTCACTTAGTATGGCCTTGATTTTATCAAAGGCTGTATGACATTGCTCAGACCACACATATTTGATGTTTTTCCCAAGTAAATTGGTCAATGGAAGAGCAATTGAAGAGAAATTTGGACAAAACTTCCTATAAAAGCCAGCCATTCCAAGACTTCTCATTAATTCTTTCTTGTTAGTAGGAGCTGGGAGTTGTGTAATTGATTCCACTTTGGCACTCACTGGTTTGACCTGCCCCTGACCTACCACATGGCCCAGATATTCAACTGTGGCTTTACAAAATTCACTTTTAGCCAAATTGATTGTTAAATTGGCCAGAGAAATTCTTTCAAACAACTTACGCAGCAAACACATGTGTTCATCAAAAGTGTCAGAATAGACAATTACATCATCGATGTATACACCAGTGTTTTTGAGATCTGCTAATAAGCTGTTCATCATTCTTTGAAATGTGGCAGGTGCATTTTTCATACCAAATGGCATAACCTTAAATTGGTACAAACCATCAGGAGTAACAAAGGCAGATACCTGTTTTGCTCTTTCAGTTAATGGAACCCCTAGGAATCCTTTGAGGAGATCAAATTTACTGACATATTTAGCAGTTCCAATTTTGTCAATACAGTCGTCAATTCGTGGTATGGGATAAGAATCAGTCTTTGTTACTCGATTCACCTTGATATAATTAACTACTAGCCTACGTCCACCATTTGACTTTGGTACAATGAAAGCAGGTGAACTCCATGGGCTATTGCTCTTTTCAATTATGTCATTTTCTAACATATAATTGACCTCAGCTCTCAAATCCTCAGATTTTGATGGATTTACTCTATAAGCATGTTGCTTAATAGGGGTTACATCTTGGACTTCAACATCATGATAAGCTATAGATGTCTTAGTCGGTACATCAGAGAAGATATCAGTGAACTCATGAATTAATTCTGTGACTTGTTGTTTTTGATCATTTGTCACATGGTGCAATTTATGTTCTAGATTTGATAATACTTCAGAGTTCTTTAACCTAGACAAACCTTTGATATCTTCATAGTCTAAATCAGTATAAGTGATATCATCTGAATCTTGTAGATCAGTTTCTTTTACAAGGGCAGGTGCCAAAGTGACTACAGGTTTAACTGAGCCAGGCTCTTTGTCTGGCTCAAAGTACATTTTCATCATATTGATGTGACACAGTTGTGTTTCTTTGCGCCTATCTGGAGTTTTGACAATATAATTGAGGTCATTGACCTTGGAATCCACTACATAAGGACCATAGAATTTTGCCTGTAATGGATTTGTCTGAAGTGGCAGCAATATAAGAACTTTGTCACCTGGCTGGAAAGATCTTTCTTTGACTTTTCTGTCATACCAAGTTTTCATTTTATCTTGGCTATTTAGCAAATTTTCTTTGGCTATTTCACAAGCCTTTGATAGGCGCTCTTTAAACCCAGTGACATAGTTCAATAAATTAAACTTTTCAGTTTCTGAAAGCCACTTTTCTTTGAGCAATTTAAGTGGACCACGCACAGAATGACCAAATACAAGCTCAAATGGACTGAACCCTAATGATTCTTGTTTAGCCTCTCTGGTAGCAAACAGAAGCAAAGGTATACCCTCATCCCAGTCTTTCTCATATTCAAAACAGAAAGCTCTAATCATGGTCTTAAGTGTCTGATGGTAACGCTCAAGAGCTCCTTGAGACTCTGGGTGATAGGCACTAGACTTACACTGTTTGATACCCAAGGTGTCCATGACTTGTTGGAATAAGCCTGACATGAAATTTGAGCCCTGATCAGACTGGAGATCCTTTGGCAGTCCAACTAAGGTGAAAAATTTGATGAGTGATTTCACTATGTTTTTGGCCTTGATATTTCTAAGTGGAATCGCTTCTGGAAACCGTGTGGCCATACAAAGAATAGTGAGTAGATATTGATTACCAGATTTTGTTTTTGGTAATGGACCAACACAGTCAATAAGAACCTTACTGAATGGTTCATCAAATGCAGGTATAGGGTGTAAAGGAGCAATTGGAATTTTCTGGTTAGGTTTCCCTACCATTTGACATGTGTGGCAAGACCTACAATACTCTTGGACATCTTGTTTTAATTTGGGCCAAAAGAAATGATTGAGTATTTTATGGTATGTTTTAGTTACTCCTAAATGACCTGCCATGGGAGAATCATGAGCTAGACTCAAGATTTCCTTATGATATGATTTTGGGACAACAATTTGATGTACAATTGCCCAATCATCTTCAGGGGAAGCTTCAGGGGGTCTCCACTTTCGCATTAATATGCCATCCTTTTTGTAGAAACAAACAGGGACCTTGACAGCTTCATCAATAGTAAGACATCTTTTATGAAGATCAATGAGTGATGGATCATGCTCTTGTTCATAAATTAACATGTGTTTTGAATGAGGATCATTTTTCAAAGAATCACTATCAGAAATAGAGGATGAAACCTCAGAACTAGAAGAGGATGAAACCTCAGAACAAGGAGGGGATGAAACCTCATGAACACTAGCAGAAGAAGATGAAACTTCATCAGAACTAGCAAGAGCGGGCGAAACCGCATTAAAATAGTGATCCTGCTCAGAAGGTGAATCACCCCTGGCAATAGGCTTTTTCAATGAAGAATATGCCTCATTAGATCGCTGCTTGGCTTGAACAATAGGCTGTTTCAATGAAGAATTTGCCTTTAGAATAGGATAAGGACCATCTTTAACAAGTGGTGAGTGACATTCATCATCAAACAAGGAGCTTAAAAACCCACTATCAAAGTCATCTCCCACAGACGAATCCCTGCTATTAGCTAACTTTTTAGCCATAGCCCTAGTAACAGCACAAGCAGGATATATATCAGAGTCCTCTTGGACAGAATCCTCAATAGAACAAGGCTGATCAGAAACAATGGGGTCTAATGATACCTTACCCCCAGCTAAATCATTGCCTAAAAGCAATGCGACTCCTTCAACAGGAAGTTGTGGCCTAACACCAACAATAACTGGCCCTTTGACTAACTCTGATGTGATATGAATACGATGGAGGGGAACTTTAGTAAATCCTAATTCAATGCCTTGCATCAAAATATGGGTACCTGTGAATGACTCCTCAGATAAATGAAGAACACCTTCTAACAACAAGGTCTGAGATGCACCCGTGTCTCTAAGAATCTTAACTGGCTTTGAATTGGTATCATCACTTGACAGTGACACAGATCCTTCCGACATGAAAGGCTTATAATCCTCCATAATATCACTATGAGTAGATTTCTCAGTATGAGTATATGAATCCCAAACAATGGGCTTTCTTGAAATGGGAACTGTAGCACAACCATTTGAATGAGCAGAACCAGACATCTCTCTTCTATTCTTAATCCTATAGCATTCAGAAATAAGATGACCAGGCTTTTTACAATAATTACAGGTGACATTTGATTTTGGACCTGAAAAATTTGATTGATCTGATTTTGAGCTAGAACTCTGTGATGAAAAAGACTGGTCTTTTGCTTTGTTTGATGTATTTGATGATGCGGACTGATTTGATTTTG